GTTTATCTTGACTCTAAGAGTACTGTACTTTCACTTTCCAATAACTTAGGCTTGAAATATCCAATTTCAATGAATGACCCCTCATTTTAAAGATCACATACTCAGGTATATGAAAATACCAACAACTTGAATTTCAATTTTTGCAAAACTTGGCCATTTTGCCACAACCTGCCTCATATAGTCGGTAATCATCATCAGAACTGTCTATTTCTGAGCTCTCCAATAGAGGGATAACTGGCAAGAAGTGAGTTGTAAATTGTCGACAGCTGGTATTGTCTCTCATCCGGATTCATCGTTTCCTGGCGTCCCTTCCTGATAAATCATTATATTTCGGATAAATTGTTATTTTATTGTGAAAGCAAATTTATATTTTTTTATTTTTAAGATGTATTGTATATAAACTAATTTAAAGTATTTATTGTAGAAATATTTAATATTGCTATTTCAGAAGTTACAAAATGGTATTTTAATGTTTGTGTTAGTATGGTTTATATAATAATGTAACTAATATTTATACTTTTATTTGTTTGCATCAGTGTTCATTAACTTGTGGAGGAGGTGTTCAGAGCAGAAATGTTGCTTGTGTTACTATCAGCACTAATCAGGTTGTTGCTCTTGAAAATTGTGTAAATGCTGGACTTGAACTTCCATCCTCAACAGCTGAGTGTAACACACAGAATTGTCCGTCATATGCTTACCTTACAGGAAATTGGATGGTAAGTCTTACCCTTGCTTATAGTGGTGTGGTGCAGCAGGGGGTATTAGGGCATTCCATAATACTCACCCAGAACATTTATAAATAAAAATTGTCCACTTTTGAAAAAAATAAATAAGCAGCCAGTTGTATATAGGATTTATGTTTATCATAGGTGATAATTATTGACTATTGTTTACTTCAGTTAGATTACTATTTATGTTCCACCTAATTTCTTTTTGATTAATTTTTGAATTAGGTGTGGGGTCTACAATAATTTCTACTCGTTTAAATCTTTTGAATAAAGCAGTTAAAATTAGGAAGACCTAAACGTAACACAATACTGGAGACAGTGAGTGGAGTGGTTCCACAGACTACCAGCCATGTTTGTTAAGCTCCTATTTTTAGCTAAAGTAGTAATACACGAAAATACATGAACTTTTCGAACTATGATTTAGAAAACTCTTATTGGTGCAAGGTAAATGTAAAGAAGTAAGACTTACTTCTTATGATGAAAAAATGTGGATCAGCAATAAATATGGCTTGTAAAAAGCTAACACTGATTTGAATTGGATAGTTGATAGTTTTCCATATTATATAATCAGAAATATAATATCTTATAACATAAATACTGTGGTAACATTAGCTTTTACAGTTAATGCATCAACGCAATACTATGGCCAATTATAGTGTATTTCATATTTAAAATATTATAATGGCATACGTACAGTATATTACAAAACAATTTTGATCTTTTCCTCTAGGACTGTTCAGTAACCTGTGGAAGTGGGTTAGAAAGTAGACCCACCCCTTGCATCACTCTTGGCACCTCCAATGTGATTGTTGATGATTCTTTTTGTGTGGCAGCTGGACTTACACAACCTGACACTGTTAGAGTATGTGAAACAGGAGTTGTTTGCCCAACTCGTTATGTATACAGTGTAGGAACTTTTACACAGGTTAGTATACAATTTTGAAGCATAAATAATGATACAAAAATAAAAACATATTTTATGTTATTTTGTCCACTCATTTTATACATTCTGAATAATATTTTATTTCATTTTTTTATTATTGTTTATTTTGTGAGTATTAAACAACTGTATAAACCACTAATATTGCCAAACCTACCCCCTCACATACTTTGGCACTATAACAATCAAATTGACACAAACAAAACAACACCCATCATCAAATATCTCCTACACTAAAGCCAGTTACTGCGTGCGACAGCAACGCAACGAAGAACGCACGCGAAGACGCGGACCCAACAGATCGTCTTTTTAATGAGGATCGTTGAGATTGCCCACTGACAATTAGCAGACGGCGTTGCGTCATCTATCGCTCGCCGGAAGCAAATGTGGATTTGTCGTGTGATGGTCGTATGACCGTCATATGACACAGTAAGTATCCGGCTTAAGTAATCTATCAGTATGTTTTTAACAACCTGTTTTCTCATGGAAATATCCAGCAAGTACAATAAGTTCTTGTTTTCTAGAAGAGTTAAACCTATCCAAGTGTAACCCCTGGTTAATATACTGTTCAGCAACAAGCAACATTTTAAAATATTACAAATTTATTTACTATATAGATATCAATTCACATACATTCATGTTTTAATACTGACAGAAAAAATTAAGCCTAATTTTTAACCTACCGTAACTTACTAATATTATAGTAGCAATATTTAACAATTAACAACAAACGTATCAATGAATAATAACAACACAATTATCATGTATCAAACAGTTAAACAGAAACTGGAAACTTGGCTCATTGAAACACCTAGCTACTTAAATCACTCCAGAGGTAGCATAATATAGAGGCTACCTATAAATAAGATGTTACATTTTTATAGAGACACGACTTACTCTACTTATTTCACAATTAATGAGCTTAAAATATAAAATTGCAAATTTGGTCTAGTAATTATTTAAGGCATGTAGAAAATAGAACATTTTATTTATCTCTAAAAGAAATTTTCAGCCAGTCCTCTGGCCTTCATCAGCATTACTAAGTGCACAAGATTGGCTGTTACAAGTTGTATAGTCACAATATAAATTCTACTCAATATTTTATTGCTTTGATCTCTGTTGGACCAACAGTTTAAAAAATAACATAAACTATTAGATAATTGGCCTATAATCTGTCTACCTCATAAAAGTTTTGGAAGCCGGGCGTATATATGACGCCCGATGATTGTCGGCCAATGCAATTCCATATAGAACACAGCACAATAGTGCGCGCTCAACAGATCATTTTTGATGATGATCTGCTTAGACTGCTACCGCTAATCAGCAAATAGCATTGCGTCGTCAAGTTCTCACAGGCAGCAGAGATAGATTCATCTGTCGACAGTCGAACACCTGTCATATGACACAGTGTGCCCAGTTGTAATATAATGATTTTTGTATATATACTTAGTGCTCAACTACCTGTGGTGCAGGAATGCAAGTCAGATCTGTGCAGTGTACAGATACTCTCAACAACAATGCTGTAGTGGATGATAGTTTCTGCACTGGCACTCGCCCAGATTCAACCATGGACTGTGATTTAGGAATGTGTCCTGCTGGCATGTAAGTATAGTAGCTGTCTAAAAATTTGTAATTACTTGCTTATAGTGATTACTTCAGTGGTACTCAACCTAGAAACTTGATACAGAGACCAAAATATAGGTTATAATGTCATCTATCTAGATGTATCAATAACTCATTTTTCATGTTTGGTACTCATAAGACTCAACATCACCTCACATATCTTTATTCTTTCAAATTTGTATACATATTTTATTGAAGATTTATGCATATACAGTGAAGACATTTAATTTAATAAAGATTAACACATAGTTATTTTTGTTGATAGGTACCAGTACATCACTAATGCCTGGAGTGCATGTGATTGCGATGGGAGCCAAACAAGGACAGTCCTGTGTATCCAGGTGATGGGTGGAACTTTGCTTAGTGCTACCGATAGTGATTGTCAAAATGCAGGAATTGTAAAGCCGCCTGTGTCACAATCCTGCACACCACCTAGCACCTGCTCTAATCCAGTCTGGTCTACTGGTGATTTTTCTGCAGTAAGTCACAACTATAAAATCACTGTAAAATCTATAATTGAATCTTTTAATATTATTATTATTTTAAGCTTTTTTTGTCCAATTCATGTGTAAAGCAGTAGTAGGCATTGTGTAAATATTTAGATGATTATTATTTGTTGTGTAATATGCAATACCTTGAGAAAAAACATGTCCTAATGGGAAAACCCAACGGTGTATACCACTTGGGCTCATAGCTCAGTTGGTAGAGTATCCAAACGGTAATTGGAAGGTCTTGGGTTCGAATCCCGATGGGGACATACGTTTTTCTCAAATATTTATTATCATCTTTAATCAACACCAGTGGAGGTATATCTCCATACCATAGTTACTATCATGTAAATATTTAGTTTACCAATATATTCTTTTACCAGTGCTTATTTTCTCAAGCACCTTGAGCATTCCTGTCAAATGGATTTACAAATCTTATTATTATCATATATTATAATGTTGAACTAAGAATTCCAACCAGAAACATTCATGAATGTCATAGGATGGAATGCTGACATTATCTGGTAACTTTAATTATAATCTCTATGGATGATTTTATGCACATATTAGTAAAGGTTGTTTTTTGTAACATGGATTGTTTGTGTAAATGTTCTTCAATTGGTTACAGTGTTCTGTGACTTGCGGAGTTGGTGAACAAACCAGGATTGTGTTTTGCGTGAATAGCCCAGTGTCTGGTACTGTGGTTGATGATTCAAATTGTGATGCTAGTTCCAAACCTTCAACCAGTCAAGCTTGTGACACTGCTGTTTCTTGCCCGTCTATGTAAGTTTTAATTATCCTGCCGTATGATAATGTTAATTGGTGTATATGATAATGTAATAATTGTGATTTATCAACATTGGTTAAATCGAGAATTATTAATACCATGATCAAAGTTATCAGCGTCATTGTTATGTGTAAAGAAGACAATTAAAATGGCATGGATAGCTAATCAGACTGGAAATACCCATGTCAAAATAGCACTCAAAAAGTTTTAGAAATTAACTATTGCTGTGGTATTGTAATTATTATTATAATCAAATTATTCATCATTATTATCATATATCATGTTTCTCGTTGACAAAATCACCTCAGGTTTACAATTCAACAAAAAAAAAAATCCTTATCTAGTATGAAAGGTATATAAAATATTTTGAAATATGCTTCCTGCATGCTGACTAATATATTGCTTGCAAAATCCATTTATAATCCTAGGCAGAGAAAGACAAATGTAGGTTAAGTGCTTCTCCAAGAACACAAACAAAATGCACCGCTGCACCAATGTGTCTCAAATACCAACTATATCTGTACACCATAAAGCCCAACAAGAAAAAGGTTTCCCTGGTGAGATGTGTAATGCATCCAGAACATTATATAGCTCAACATGGTTGCATGAAATAGGGAAAAAAAATTGTTTGTCTAAAATTGGTGCTGGGGTAATGCGCAATGCCTCCAACAGTCATTCAACCAGTTGTACACTTTCCTTAGCCCTGAGCAATGGTTCAAATGCGCATGGGTCTTTTGCTGGGTGTGGGTTGCTTTAGGTAAGGAAATGTATACAAGGCAATCAATGTAGACCTAATACTTGATAAGCTCCAGTCCATATGAGCCCATGGCTCGGCAAGGATTTACTACTTTACTATATACGTGAAAATGGTCGACATGATATTTTTCCATTGCTAGTATTGACATTTTTGAAATGGAATATTGTATTTGCATTATCAACTGACTGCAGTGTTTGACACATGTGTCAGGTAATGAAATGCTGGTGGGAGCATGAAAGCAGATGCGATCTACAATGTGTAAATTTGCCTAGTAACAAAATCTTGCAGAAAGTGATATTTTTTTTTTCGAATGTAAAACTGAAATGTAGGCAAATAAAATGATCTGTTTTATAATTTAGAGTAATGCGAATCCCTTTTTTTCAGAATTTTTTTATTAGTGAAAATATGCAGAGAGTAGAAACTTAAAGCTAGGCTCTTTAGGGAAAAATTTTAAGATGTTGTACAACAGATATTTAAAAATTGGGGGAAAATGTATTAAAAACAATTTTACTCCAAAGCATGGTTCGAAAAAAAGTAGTAGGCCTAGTATTATTTTGATAATTGAGGTTTTTTTATAGATTCTTTATTTATAATTTATGATTTGTCGTGTGTGTGTAGGTACATGTACTTAAGTACAACATGGACAGCATGCAGTGTAACCTGTGGTGAGGGTATGGAGACACGAATTGTTACATGTTATGAAATTAGTGGAAACTTTATGCAAGTGGATGATGCATTCTGTGCAGGCATGGTCAGGCCAGCATCTTCGAGACCATGTTCTGGTCTTCCACCATGTGCAGGAGTCTGGGTATCCACGGATTGGTCTCAGGTAATGTGCTAGTATAGGCCTATATTATTTTTAATAGAATAATATAATAATGCGAAATAAAATAATAACTACGATGTTAAATACGTTAAAATACAAAACATATTATAATAAAAAGTCTTGTCTACTTTGGGACGTTTGACTGAAGTATACATAAAGAACATCTGGTGGGAGCAAATTGTTATTTGTTTTTTTCTTGTTGTAATAACAATATCTATCCTTGTGGTTATGCAGAACAGAACTAAAGTCTACACTTTCTTGGCAGATAAAGCTTGCTTACACTAATATCTGATGCATGAGACAAAAACATAAAATTTCTATATAGCACCCTCTATGCAAAAATCACAAAATAGAGTGCGATCTATGTTTTTTTTTTTTTTTGTAATGTGGTGGTGCTACTGATCACAGTCGTGGGTCGGTATAGCTTTGTTAAAAGAAATTTATGTGGCCTGTATTCACATTTTAATGATGAGTTCATTTCATTTTTATGAAATTTCAGCATATAATTAGCCTACATTTTACCTTTTATAAAATTTGTATGATTCGTGAGATTATGCAACGTAGGCGTGAGATGTAAAAAGTGGATGCTCATTCGTGACACTCATGCATGACACACAGTAAGCATGATTCACTCATTGCAGCTATGCTGGGAAATCCTATAGTCACAATCTGATTATTTGTACATTAAACTACTGAAAATAAACAAGTATTTGGAATAAATACGACTTGAACTGTGTAACCTAGCAATATGATATTTCAAAACTATGCAGACAACGAACGATAATATGTAAAACTGTATTTTGTCCATGATTTTGTCTACAAATATTAATAATAATAATAATAATAAATATTTATATTATATAGCACCTAGTGTTAACAACTTTTAGGCGCTTAACAACATAATAAAGAATATTATGTGTGTAATTCTATTTCAGTGCTCAACCACATGTGGTGTTGGAAGTCAAGACAGGTCTATTAATTGTTACCGTACAAAGTTAGCCAATGAGCTATTGAATGTCGCTGAATGCACTGATCCACGTCCACCTGTGACCCGTGTATGCTACCTCGGAGATTGTCCATTACTGCCTGGATGCGGTGAGACAATTCAGGCAGTTGTAGGCGGTAGCTACGTATTCTCCAGCCCAGGCTTTCCAGCCAACTATCCTAATGATTACGTGTGTGATACTTTGATGACTACTACTGAAGGTCGCATTGAAGTAACATTCTCAGAATTTAATGTGGAGGAGTGTGTAAATTGCAGTTGTGATATTCTCACGGTATGTAAACTAATTTTGTTAATTTTATGAAAAGATACATTCAGATGTATTCGATTTTGTTTTCAACAACACAACAGTTATTTTCAGAACTATCTATGTGGTGTACAGCAAGCATTTAATATAATTTTATTTTGTTAAAATTAATAGATAACTGACGTAAGTTCTAATGAAAATACACAATATTGTGGTATTCCTGAAGTGCCATTCACTGTGACATCGACTGGCAGCACCCTCTTAGCCAACTTTGTAAGTGACGAAAGTTTAACCAGGAGGGGCTACACAGCAACAGTCCGTGTGATTCCAACTGGTGGAATCCAATATGTCCCTGGAACATTTGGAGAGGTAATTGTTTACAAATATAAATTAGAATTTTTTTGTTTAAGTCAATCACTCATAGTATATATAAAGTGTGGTGTCTGATGATATCGATCTTAACATATGACTGATAAGAATATCTTCTGTTGCTTGCTGTCTTTAACAGCGAAAGAAAATCAGAAAGACTATACAGGAAAGGCCACTATAAATGGGGCATGTGGATGAGACGGTTTTATTGTTATTGGATGGAGTTGCTTGAATTTAGAGATATTCCCAGAAATAGGGAAATTTCTATAGATAGGGATATTCCCCAGAATTTGGGAAGTCTAGGATTACTAAACATACCAATATAATGGAACTGGACCTGATTATGAATGCATGTTTACATGATCTTCTGATCTGTTTCAGTGTTCTGTGACATGTGGTGAAGGTGTTAGAAGTCGCTCTGTTACTTGCTATAATGATGGGGTTGAGGTGGATGATGCTGTGTGTGTTGGTATCGAACGACCTCCAGCAACTGAAGCATGTGTACTTGAAGACTGTAGACCAAGTGATTGTAAGTTCACCAGTCTCACAATTAATACCTAGAAGAATATGCTTCCAGAATATCTTAAATCTGTGTGCAGTGAAGTATTTTCTGGCCACCTATTAAATATATTGGTACAGTAAAACTTCCATTTTATGTACCCCTTGGTACCAAGGGGTATTCGTAAATTGAAAAATTTGTAAACTAGATGGGGTGTCAGTTTCCAATTGAGCACCGATAGGCTAACGGCTGCCAGGCCTAGCATGAACGAACAGTGCAGCAGCGTGGTCTACCGTGCTAGAGCTTGGCTGAACTTACATTTGATAAAAATTATTTTAATTGCTGGCATTCTTCCACTTAACAAAATACTGTATCATTTTTAACTCTTATTCCAACATTTGTATGTTTTATAGACCTTTCTCCTGTGTTCTTTCTAGTTGTTAGGTCACTGAATAGTGTTGTTTACATGCATTTCGCGATCATATCTAGCCTTCACGATGTCAATAAGTTGCTTACCCTAACACTCTCGTTCGTCATCGTAAACATGTACACTCAATCTGACACTTGCGTTGGTAGTTCGATTTGTTTATTACATTAACATAGTGATTATTAAACCAGAAATGGAAGAAAGATCGAACTATCTATATATTAATTCTGCCAATCGCCTCCGCGTACCATCACCTATCTCCGCTGGCAGGAATGTGCTCATCTTCCATACACTGGGGATTCTATATGTCATGAACAGGATAGGCCACTTTTCGACACTGGATATTGGACAACAAGGAAAAAAACAGAAAAAAACCACCGAAAATTATGTACCTTTTTCGCCATTTTTTGCGTGTCTCCTACGTCATATAAGTAAATCCCCTCTCTTAATCTGTACTGCACTGCTCAGATAAAGATATTATCGAGTCGGGCCTAGCAACAGAATCCAGGATGATTTGGATTGGGTCAATATGACTATTCTTTTGCAATACGATAGTACATGACATCAACATAGCGACACTGAAGTTTAAGTTTAGAGTCAAGCCAGCTCCACCAATTAACACCTCAAATTTACGTAAACACATCGGATCAACAGGGGTGGATCCAGTAAAGGGGGGGGGGGGTAGTGGAAATTTAGGGTCGAGCCACCTCCACCAATCAACACCTCGAATTTACATAAACATGTCCTATCAACAGGGTCGGATCCAGTAAGGGGGGTTGTGGGCAGATCAACAGGGGCAGATCCAGTTGGGGGTGGGTTTGGGCACATGCCTCCCCGTTTTACCACTAAATTTTTGAAATTTCAATGCATATTATGTTACGTGCTACTCACTTAACTACTCACGTGCTACTAAAACTGTTGTGTGGCCCCTCCCTCTTCCCGTTCCCATTCTAGATCCACCCTTCATCAAACTGGACAATAATAATTCCTCACAAGGACTATCTAGCAAAGACACTCATCTACAAAAATATTATCTACAAGGACATCCTTTAGAAAAATAGTAACATGTTAACCATAACATCCACAACGATTAGCTCCTTGATTTCCCAAACATTCAACAGTATACATCGCCATCTTTCCCCACTCATTCAACACCGTGCGGAGCACGGGTATATGTTAGTTAATAAATAAATACAGCAAACTTGATTTTATTAAGAAAAATATACATTATTACTTGGTAAAACTTGTGCATTAGACTAGACTTTTTTACGGCAATAATTGGTTGATGATTACGTCATCAGGGGTAAAGACCATTTGTAAAATCGATAATTCGTAAAATCGACGGTCGTAAAATGGATGTTTTACTGTAATTGGGAAAGATTAACCAAGATTACTATATTAGTCAGTGGTGTAACAGCTATGAGCTCTAGTTGGCTAAAGCCAAAGTATCCCAGTCCTTAAGGGAGTCCCAGTGCAAGTGGTCCCAGTCCTTAAGGTGGTCCCGGTGCAAGTGGTCCCAGTTCTTAGGTGGTCTCAGTGCAAGTGGTCCCAGTCCTTAAGGTGGTCTCAGTCCTTAGGTGGTCCCAGTGCAAGTGGTCCCAGTCCTTAGGTGGTCCCAGTCCTTAAGGTGGTCCCAGTCCTTAAGGTGGTCCCAGTGCAAGTGGTCCCAGTCCTTAAGGTGGTCCCAGTGCAAGTGGTCGCAGTCCTTAAGGTGGTCCCGGTTTTTAAGGTGGATCCAGAATACGCTTCATCATTTTTCATTTCACCACAAACCGAGCAGTTCTTTTAGAAAAACAATAATTAATATAGTGTATTAAAAATACATTATAGATGAGGTCCAAAATATTCAAATGATGCTAAATAAGCCATTCCAAAACCAGAATTCTGTCGCTAATTGTTAAATTGAGTAATTAGCATAAGAATGCAGTAGTATTGTATACTTAGTACAGAGAAACCGTAATACTTTTACTCGTAACTTTAACAATATTAAGTCGATTCTAGTAAATGACCCATCATTTTAAAGCTTACAACGTACAGAATAAGAATACGTTAAAAAGTCAATTTTTTGTATTGGTCACTGATCTGGTTTTGAGATGACAAGCCTCAATGGCTTCACTCTCTTTCAATACATTTCAAATAGGTATTTTAATCTAAAGGATTTGTTTATTTTTTCAGTCTGTGGTAATGATACCACCGTAAGAACTGTGAGTGGTGGGAGAATTACGCCACCAAATTTCCCTGATCCATACGAGGCTAATCTTGAATGTATAAATATTATCAGAGCTCCAATAAACAACATTATCAACTTCAACTTTATCTTCTTTGAGGTCGAAGATTCAGAAAACTGCACTAAGGATTCTGTTACTGTAAGTATGCTGTCTCTTATACACATCTAGATGTGTATAAGAGACAGCCCTAACACTCTCGTTCGTCATCGTAAACATGTACACTTGTGTCCATGTGTGTTTCGAAACATATGTAGAATATAATATAACGTAACAGTAAAGAAACTCAAATGTGTAAGATGTTGACTTTAGAAACACTAAAATTTATTTGGCGAATATTTCGGCTACTCCTGTAGTCTTTGTCAACGCTTGACGTAAAATGAACATATTGAGAAAGTATCTTGGCAATATACAATTTGAGAAACAATACGGTAATTAAGTCAAAGCAAGTCGGCATACGTCTATAAAGGATTAATGATATATGTACAAAAAACAAAAAAAAAATTGTATATATATAAAATTATACAAAGCAATATTGTAACTTAAATAAATGTGGGCCTATAAAAGTATTGAAATAACGCTGAAAGAAGTCCTAAGGACAGGACAAAATATTCGTTTTTCTATTAAATAATATATATTTTATGTTCTGTCACACGTCAACCTCTGTCATTTATTTTTGTACTTGACTCACATGTTATACTTATTTGGAACATACATGCAGCTCATCATTATTTTGATGTTTACTCTTCTATATATATATATATATATATATATAGTTTAATAGAGCATATATTTATTGAATTGTATAAAATTGTATTTTAGTTCACTGAAGAGGGCGCTGAAGATGTGGTCTATTGTGGCTCACGGTCTGGAACTATGTTTACATCTACTACTAATGAAGTGAATATAACACTTGTTACTGATGGTGATACTGAAAATATTGGATATATAATTGAATATACTTTTAGCCAACTTCAAGGTAAATTGAGTTTTACTTTAATTCTATTATAAGCAGTGGTATGTGTATACTTTTTTTACATTTAATATTAAAATGATTCATGTATAGTTTTTCTTTTCATCCAAACTGATGGTAAATAATAATCAAACATTTTACATTCGTTCAATGAATAGGTATTTTACATTACTTTTACATTTAATGAAGTGATTCATTATCAGCAATTAATAATTATGTCTAATGTCACAACAACTTGATTGATTAATCCAGGTAAGTATATTGCTCATAGGCTACCAATATCACGATTTATTTGTTTGATTTGTGTAACTTATACTATACACAAATGAAACAAAACAGTGAGATATATCTAAACTTATATGTTCATCAAACTGTACCATGCAACTATATATCTGTCTATGTGTATGTTTATCTACCTGCCCCTCCACCTGTCTGTACTTTCCTTTTTGTTCTCAATGATGAAAAATTATCTTTAGTCTTTACAAACTACATAATTTTTTCTGAATTCAAATTGCATTTTAAGCACATGCTTTATACTGATATATTTTTGTTTGTTTATAGTGAATCAGTGTGGGGACATATTATTGGAACCCGGTCAGGTGTTCTCACCTAACTACCCTGGTAACTATGATAACAATGAGGATTGTACTACCACTATTTTTGCTAGTAGTCGTTGTATAGAGATCAACTTCGATCAAATTGAAATTGAAAATAGTGAGGATTGTGGCAAGGACTACTTGGAGGTTAGTATTCAGTGAATTTATTATTAATTCTGTCTTTGAAGTGATAGTGCCCTCGGCGATACAGCACAGATTTCACTTGTAGGCATACATAGACATACATTATGTGTGTGTGTGTGTGTGTGTGTGTGTGTGTGTGTGTGTGTATATAAACAAATAACAAACAAGTTTTTTTGGAACATGAGCATCAGGTGAGTGTGACATTTTAGTTACCTTTTGTACTTCATCATGATACATACTGTATGTGTCCAGTGTGTCCCAAAAGTCTCCATAACTTGTTTTGTTCTCTTTTGCAGCCAAGGCTAAATTATCAAAATCAATATATTAAACTTACCTTAGAAAATTACAAAAATCACAGAGAATCATAAAATATTAATTTAAATACAAATTTAATTAAGGAATACCTGTATAATTATAGTATATTTAGCCTAAAAATTGGTTCAATTAGGTAAATGTAAAGGCCAGTAATAGTTAAGAAAAAGTAACAAAAAAAATAGGCATAAAAACAAGCATGATCATATGAATAAAAACATTGAAAAATTCAATACCGACCCACAGTTTGCTGAACTTTGCTGTAAAGTATCATAAAAATGTTAGTAATTGTTATACTACACTATAATTTGTGTTAGATATTTTGGTATGCATAACATACACGTTTTAATTTTTTTTTTTTTTCAGGTTTCTGATTTACAGCATTCATTCTTGAGCCAAAAGATTTGTGGATCACAAAGTGACCTAACCTTCAATTCATTCAGTCAAACTGTGTCTCTTAAGTTTGTCAGCGATGGAGATGTTACTGATGTTGGTTATAATGGTGACTTGGAATTTGTTGATTGTCCACAATTCTTGTATTCCATTGGTCCATTTTCGGATGTGAGTATTTAAGATTAATTGTGCAACAATGCTATACATTGCATCACACTATTAAGTTGGTTCAGAGTGTCCATGTGACTCATTGATAAAAGCCATCCCTTTTATTGTATGAGAATAATTCTGAATGTTTTTAATTAATTTTTAGTGTTCTGTATCATGTGGTGGTGGCGTTAGAACAAGAACTGTCCAATGTGTAAATAATCAGAATACTGTTCTGAATAACATATTTTGTGGAGAAGCACCACCATCATCAGAAGAATGTGGCCAAGAGGATTGTCCATGTAAGTTTTATTTTGTGTAAATCATTTTCGAGAAATTTGAAATGAAAATTTCCGATAACCTGGAAACTACCACTGGGGGACTTTCAGAGGCCTAGCATTTTGCAGTACGTAGTTATTATCATGGATTGAATCAACGATAAAACTAAATTGGTAATGAGCACAAACATTTTAAAACAGAAAAAACACAAAATGTTTATATTAAAAACAAGTCTAAGTCTTAAAAAGCTATTTCTATGTTTACATATACAGTAATTTTAGTAATTAGCAAGATCGTGTCTGTTCTCTACTGCTGCTGTGGCAAGGGTCTAGCGGCATTATCCGGTGCTCTATTGTAACTAGCCAGCTGCTAGTGACTTGCAAGACATTGGCAGCGCCGTTTTAAAATATGTCCGATAAATTGGTCATAGGGTAGAAAGCCTCTTTGAATCAATTTCTTGCTAAACCTTCCAACATTGAATATTATTATTATTTAGTATATTAATTCAAGTTATGATTTAATAGATAAAATATAAAATGATTATAATTTATTGCTTACTTATTTGTAGGTTGTTGATTTGAGTTGAATAAGTTCAAAACAAATCCACCACCTACAAATAACATATAATATTTATAATTGAAATGTATTTAAAATTTCTTTAACTCATTAGCGTGTGATGTAATGATCACAGACACTGGTTCAGGCCCTTACCGTTTTGAAAGCCCCAACTATCCACATGCGTACAACAACAATGATAACTGCACTTACACCATTGTCAGCCCTAATGGTGAATGTATTGTGATAACCGATACATTCTTTGACCTTGAGAGTCCTGATGGTAATGGTCAATGTACAAATGATTTTGTAGAGGTATGTACAAATTGTTTGAAGTTACTCATTTATGTGATAAATGTAATGTGTGTACCACTATATTGACACAAGATTTTGAGTTGGGAAAGCAGTAATCTATAGTATTTAGACTTTAAGCATTGCCCTTAGGTGTTCTGATCTGATATACCATAATATATCATGGCGCAAAGTTCATGGAATGCTGGTCTCTCTGGGAATTGTGTGGAGTACATCCAGGACAAATTTGTAATGTTGCAGCCCTTATTGGTTATAGATATAACTGAGTGGCTTGAATTATATCTATACATAACCAATAAGTATAGGTATAACTGAGTGTCCTGAATTATGTCTATACATAATCAATAAGTATAGATATGACGGAGTGTCCTGAATTGTATTGTAGTGTAAAATATATATTTATATTGTCTTGTTTTTGTCATTGTTACTTAATTTTCTAGTAGAAACATATTCACTTGGCTCTATAACACTGTGGTAGAAACCACACACACACACACTGCTCATCTCTTAAGCTTTTTCCATACAATTGTTACACACTATTGCTGACAGCTTTCAGTGATGCTGAGTGGTCGGTCGAATTTGGGAGCCTTCCTGCTTGCATTTGGGACTGCTACGCGATACAACGATTGCACTGAAAACACTAGCGATTTTAAGGAAACTAGGCTTTATATGAATTGCCCACCATTTCTGTTCATATTATACTCCCATACCCAACTAGATACCACATGCTGCATTATGCACTGCCATACCACCTCACCCTTGTTCCGTTCCGCCTGTGCTTTATCCTGAAACCATGAGATCCCTGACAGCAAGAGATTGTTTTACATTAAGGAGAAGTGTTTGATTAATTTATGTAATGTTTTTATTTTAACAACAGGTATTTGATATTGGATTCCCAACTATCACGCAAGTTGATTGTGGGTCAGCACGTTCTGAGTATGTGTTCCGATCATTGTCATCACAGGTTGAGCAACGATTCATCACAAATGACAATGTGACTGCTTTTGGATTTGTTACATTTGTGTCGTTCGTGCCATGCCCAACATATGCCTATTTGCCTGGAGAATGGAGTGATGTATGGGAATTTTCTTTTTTCCGTGTTAATTGAGTAGTTTAATTATTTTAGGCATATCATCCCAAAACCAGCATACTGTCACTAAATATTAAACTAAGTAATTAGCATAAACAGGTGGCAGTATTGTATACTTTAGCACAAAGAAGCCATAATACTTTTACTCATAACTTTGGCAATAGTCGATTGCAGTAAATGACCCATCATTTTAAAGCTTATAATTGGAGAATATAAATATATTTAAAAGTCAATTTTCATGTTGTGGTAACTGATACACGTCAATATAAATGAATGGATGAAAAAAATTATAATTTTTATCTGCAACACACTTACTTTAACTATATGCAAATTAAATTAATTAATTATATTTAATCAAATAATGACACATTACAGTAATCAGAGGCTGTAATTGTATAATATATTAGTTATCAAAACAATTACAATGTGTTATAATGATTTTGTTAGTCTTTTATTTGAGTAAATTCTATTTTTAGAAATCAGAGAGTTGAGTTCTATTATCCTTTCTGCTGACATATTACTTTATTTTGTCATCCCAGTGCTCTGCAACCTGTGGAGAGGGTGAAAGAACAAGAACTGTTATCTGCTGGTTTCTACTTGGATCATTAGCTGTAGATGAAAGTCTATGTAACGATGAAAGACCACCAACCTCTGAGGTTTGCTTTAGGGAAGCTTGTCAAAGTAAGTAATGTTTTATCCAACTGTGTGTCCATATTGGACATCTAAAGACCAACTGGAATGTACAGTTTAAATAATTGGTACAGGAATATAATGATATCCATATTAATGGTCAACATAAATAGTAATCTGTTACGCTGTTAAGTTATGGCGTAAACATTTTTAAAATATTTATTTGAATGAAACTCCCCTCTTTTTTTTTCCTTTCATTCCCCCCCCCCCAAAACCGCCTCTGGTATTCCCCTCGTTTCATGGAAAAGTGTCCCAAAGGAGGTGACTACTGCCATACTTTAATCATCCAATTTATTACTCATTGTTGTTTAAAGGTTGTGATGCTATGATCACCAGTGAAGAATTGTTCACAAATAGAGCTGAAGGCGAGGATACTTACGATAAAAACCAAGATTGCATATACACTGTAGTTGCGCCTGATGATATGTGTGTAACCCTTGTTGTATTTTCTTACACGTTTGAACAACCCACTGATGGTGTTTGTGTCGCAGACTACTTTATTGTGAGTTGATAAAACTTATAGACTTATAAGACAGGTCTTATTGACTGTGGCATGCCATTCCAACTTTATTCTTCTACTAGAATATGAGCTACCCCCCCCCCCCTTGTTGGGGAGAAAACACTTCGTCGGGAGAAGAAAATTTTATTTATATTTTTTACATATTAATAGACTCTAAAATAAAACTTTGAAACCCCTAAATAGTCAAGGCCCCCCTCCCCCATCGTCTCCCTTCGGGACCTGTACTAATTATTCATTTTATAATATATTGTGACAGAACTACGATTTTGGGATGGCATACCTTATTAATATAAAAAAAAGTGCAATTTAAACGTCTATGAAGAGCTGTGAGTAATTGTCTTGCTTGCCTGTATATTGAAGTGGTGGCCAACATAGTGACATGATTAATCGTGTTGCTATCTGATTTATATGGTGTCCAACATATTGGTTCAATTCAGAGAGTGGTAATGGTAACTATTTTTTTTTTTTTTAAACAAAATTAAAGGTTTTGTAAACTATAACAAAATTATAGAGAAATTGCAATTTCTTTTTATTTTATTGTCTTATCTGTAACTCATTCACAGCTTACCGATACTTCCGACTTGAGTTTGAATCAGACATTATGTGGAAGTGCAGGTGGAACTATAGTAAATTTCCCAACTGCTAGTAATACAGCAATTGTCACCTTCCATTCTGATGATGAAAACGAATATGCAGGTTTCAGCATCATTGCCGACTTCCATGAATGCCCAGTTTACATCTATCGTACAACAGCTTTTGGAGATGTAAGTATTATATTATGCATATTTGTGTATTAGAACATTTGGAAATGTTTTGTTTTCCCTTCAAGATTATTAAATAATATAGTAGAAAAAAATAACTGAATTGGTTGTAGTTGATTGACTAGGAAAAATGGGCGGAATGATGAGACCTCTGAATAGTGGGGACTGGCTGAATGGTGGGGACTGGCTGAACGGTGGGGACTGGCTGAACGGTGGGGACTGGCTTAAGTTGTGCAACCATTAGAGAAACTGGGAGAAATAGCCTGCGTAGTTGATGTCAAATCCGTGATGGGATTCAAAAGTAAAAGGGAATGTGATGAGCTACTGGATCTGATAACACTACTGTAGACCACAACAAAACAGATATACAGGAAATTACGATCATAAAGAAATTTAGTTGCCTTTCTCAAACCATGCTCAAGCATGGCACCTCAGTCAGGGAAATGGTATATCACATCCCTGCTTTAAAGTAATAAACATTACAATACAGATGACAGTATCAAAAAGAGTGGATATCAATTAAAATATATGGCGATTGGATCATAACCGAATGTAGCGCTCTGAACCGGCTTCTGTCACGGTTTCCTATGGGTGTTACAATTTGCTATCAAACTGTGGTCTTCAGAACAAGGACTGTATTCACACATGTGTGCACAAACACGAACAAAGCACCTCTCCGATTCTGGATCGCACTATAATGCTTTTAATTATATGTCACACTTCCCAAGTTTAGGTTCAATCTCCAGTTCTACTTAGCATTAACATTCTGTTAAACACCCTATGATAACTTTATATAATTATGTTAATATCTTATTCATGCCGTAATAAATACAATGATGTTAATGAATTGAATATGATTAACATACTGTCTCCAATGGTTTCGCATAATCCCCAGTCTTCTAGCTCTCCTCGGACCTACCTCCTACATAACATGTGTTGCCAACTGCATACCCAATCATTTTCCAAGGGAAAATTGACTAATAGATTTAATTGACATGTGACAGTGGAATAGAACTATCATTGTTTAGCACATATGCATATCAGTTACCTCTAGTTTAACCAACTATGCTATGCTCTACCATTACCAACATTTAGTTAGAAAGTGATATCATTATGATGTTAATTATCATATGTACATCATCAATACTATATTCTATGTCCATTCACTTACCAGCATCCACTGTTTAAATTTCTTCTATTGAGTTAGTACAGAAACTGTTATTATTTTTCTGATGTCATCATTGTTAGATATATTTTGGATCCAGGTTTTTTTTTTACCTTTTCAATAATTATAGAACACTCAGTTACTATGGAATTCAGGTTATGATATGGATAAATTATAATTCTGTATAGTATTATTTTTTAACCTATTACTTTGATCGTTGTTCCTTTATTTTATTATAGTGTGATAGAACATGCGGGAATGGAATAAAGACAAGAAGCATTTACTGTGTAAGGGTTTCAACAGGCGAGACTGTAGGCAACTCTAACTGCGAAGGTACACAAGCACCACCCCTAACACAGTCCTGTAACCTTGGAGATTGTCCAGAGTGTGACGAAATGTTTATGACTGAAGGGATTTTATCAATGGCAAATTATGAACCCAATCTTAACTGTCGTGCTGAGATCGTTGTTGCAGAGGGTCAGTGTGTTCAACTTACTGAAATAATCTTTGGGTTACCAGACCCTGTTGATGGTGAATGTACAGACAGTCTTGAGGTGTGTAATCAATTTGTCAGGTTTTGTAATATATTATTATCCTTATATTTGTTATTGCAGTACAGTATTTTTGGAATTTCTTTTTTATTTTTTACAGAGTATTTATATTTCATGTTTTGATTTTTATAGAAAAAGCAGTAATTTATTTATGTATTATTTATTACATGATACAGTATTCTAGATTATTTAGGCCATGTTTCCTCAGCACTAATAATGGTGCTTCATTGTACTTATTATGGGGCTATGAAGGGATTGAGAAAACAAAAAAGATTTCTAGGTGTTTTTTTGACGTACAGTAAACAATAGGGACATACCTAGGCCCAGTAGCTGAATGCACCATCAACGTTTTTTCCCTAAAGTTAAAGGTTATTTTTTCGCATTCTGTGTTTTTTCCAATAGATCATCTGATTCGCATCCCATAATTTATCGGATACTTTAGGCCCTGTTTTCCCAGAAGATAAATAACAAATGGCTGCTTTCCAATAATTTATCGGGTAGTAAGTGCTGCAGAAACAGGGACTTAAAGTTTGATTTAAGGTCATTTTTTTCAAATTCAATTTGTGCAAAAATGCATCCATCAATGGTCCCCGGTTTCATTCCCATCGCTGCTCTCCTTGTTTTTCAGCTGCTACTACTTTGTATTTGCCATGCCATGTCAGGAATAGCTGGTTATAATTGACAGATAAACTGTTGACGTTAAAGTGCTAATAATACTGAAATAGGGTGATGTGACTGGTGCTTTATAATTGATTTTAACGTAACTTGTTGTCTAGTTCGTGAATACTTACCTGGATAACCGACTAATTGCCATTGTTCCCAAAACGGAACACCCCTTCGAAAAATGGAACAGTCCGACCCAAGGCGCAACAAACGTCCTCATTCCCTTTTCGACATTGTTCGAGGTCGGATCGTCTAGCCTTCGGAAAACTAGCAGGACTTTTCAAGCACAATTCTGTTCTCCTTGGATTTATTGGTGCTTTATAATTGATTTTAGCGTAACTTGTTATTTAACTTAATTTACGTAATAACAGGCTGAGGGCTGAAATGCAAGTTTCAAAAGTGCACCGCCTTTTACTTGAGGCATTTAAGCTGTTGGTCCTGTGTGCAATATGGCCCATGTGCATGTTAAAATGTAGTACACACTTCAGAAAAGAGTAGGGGATTCTATTCCAGTTTTTCCTTGGTATTTACACAATCCAGTGGTAGGTAGCTTGTGTTACACTAATACAGAATGTTTTTTAAACATTACTATCAAAATGTTTTATTGTTACAAATTAATCAGTGATAATTAAAGTTATTATTGTCATTGTCACTACAGGTATTTGATGTTGGAAATGATGCCCCAGGAATTGAAGTCTGTGGTGACGACTTTACTGGATTTACCTCGCGCTCAAACAGAGTTGATGTGCGATTTGTCTCCAATAATGATTCAGAATCAGGACTCTATACTATTTTAATTGCAACCATTGATTGTCCAACTTATGGTTTTGTACCCGGACAGTACGACGATGTAAGATATTTTTGGGGTTTTTTTTCATTGCTTTCTTAAAATATAGTTTTGTATTAGTAGTAGTAGTTGAATACAGTAGAAACCCTATTAAGGGGCCACCTGTTGGACAAAAAAGTGTCCTCCTAATAGGGGTGTCCTCTTAATAGGGGTGCCCTGAGTAGTTGTTGGCCACGTAATGTTAAAAGAATGCTTTCCTCCATTTCATGGCCAAAATAGCATCCCCTTAATATGGGCATTCTCTCGATAGGGGGGGGGTCCCCTTAATATGGTCATCCCCTTAAAAGGTAAGTCCCAAAGGAGAAGGTCTATTGTATTTGTTATAGTTTAGTTAGTTATGGCAAATTTATGTTTAGCTGGTTCAAGAGGAATCCATAAAGTAAGTAAAAGTAAAGAATATTATTAGTAGTTAAATAATTAGAATAATGTTGTATTAGTAGGTCAACTCTTTGATATTAAATTGGATGGTTTAATATTAAATAGATATACTGTAATCCTTTGATAAATAGGATAGTGCTCCGGTTGATAATAGGTGCCTCGCAGGCCAAATTTGGCAATTTAATCTGGCCCGTGAGAAAAAAATGAAACAAAGTAAAACTAATAATTATTAAATTAATATTTTTTCCATAAAATAAAGCAACACTTTAACAATAACAACATTTAGTGAAACACAGCTTGGGGATGTGTGAAGGTAAAGCTTGCTGGACACTTTCTGTGGTTCTGCTATACTTCAAACTAAACACTGCACCTTTAAGTTGGGGTAAACTCACTCAGATCTAGAATTAAGTCTGTTTCCCAGCAACTATTGACAAATACCCAAGGATTAACAGAATATGGAAAAACCTTGTCATGGACTGTGTTAAACAACTGTTTTGAATAAAAATGCGGCACTTTACCACTCCTCTTGCTATTTAGAATGAAACAGCATGTTCCCACTAAACTCTGAGTTTGCAGTGAATAGAATAAGAGGGTTTTATAATATATATATAAAATTTGTAACATACTTCAATCTATGTTTAATTTGTTGATTTTATTCACTGTTGTAGTGTACAAGATCTTGTGGAGGTGGAACCCAGACAAGAACAGTTGAGTGTCAAGAACTTGAAACTGAGATGGTTGTTGATGATTCTCTGTGTACTGATGCTAAACCTGAGGAAAGCCAAGACTGTAACGAATTTGATTGCCCACGTAAGTGTCAATTCACATTAAGGTTGCTGCTTTACTAGTGGCAAACCGTTGTAGAGACATTTTCACACAGCATCATCCGAGGTATATATTAGGCCTATCTAGCCCCATTTTAAAGAGTCAAGGAATGAATTTAGATCTAGGCCTCCTGTAATAAGGAGGCCGATGCTTAGGTCGTAGCTTATGGCCCTGTCACATAGTAAAGAATAGACCTTACGTATGCCGAGCGTTCTCCTGATACGCTAAAATACGCTAAATTTTTTTAGCAAAAAAATAAAATTTTTGCGTGAAAGACGAACGCCCAACGAATGAGAAACGAATGCTCATCGTACAACTAGCGTCCATTTAACGGATGACAGTGCGTTCACCCAACGAATGCCCAGCGAATGTCACACGTATGCCTAACGTATTGACGTCTTGTAAACGTTGATGTAGGTCGGTATACGCTGAGTGTTCGCTGGCCATTCGTTACTCATTAGTTAGACAAACGCTATGAATACGTTATGCATTTGCTATGGCAACGTTTCAGATGGGATTGAACGTGTTTGGACGAACAACAGACAAACGGAAAACGTAAACCCAACGTGCACCTAACGTGCGAAATGTTCAAACAACGAATGCTCACCGTATACATAGTGTATATAGCAGAACGTTGTCATACGTTCAAAATTTTGAACATGTCCAAAAATTAAAATCGACCTCAGCGTACCCCAACGAACAGCTAACGAATACAACGTATGCCAAACGTATTACAAACGTGTCACGAACAAATGTCAACTTACGCGAACGTAAACCTATATTTTGATAAACGTCGGCATACGTTGGCTCTATACGCTACAGTGTGACAGGGGCTTTAAGGAAAGTGATTACTGTATTCTCTCAAAAGCAGAAGATATTTTAATTTTTTGACGAATGTTGTTTTTAAAACACAATCAAATAAATTTTTACCATTGTACTACATACCATTTGAACTATGCACAACTAAATGCACATACATGCTCAGGATGCATTTTGCACTATAGCAACTAATAACTACTACAAAAGATTGATTATAAATATATTTACAAAACTAACCTTAAAAGACAGTGATTGATTTATAAAGCAATTTATTATAGTGCCCATCTATACACTCAGGAAATTATAATACTTGAACACACACGACAATACATTCAATGCCATACGTCCTACCAGGTACCCATTTATACTCCTGGGTGGAGAGAGGCAAACAAAATTAAAGTGCCTTGCCCAAGGACACAAGCAATGCGACAAGTGTTGGTCTCGAACTCCCGATCTAACAATCCACACGCACCTACTTAGATTTTATTAGCGCATTTATAAAATTCCTCCTGACCTTGCAGGTCCTCTAGAATTTCATGCATTAATATAACCTTTATATATTAATTTCCACTAGTATATGATATAACTAATTACTTTAGTTATTTCTGACACACTGAAATCAATTCAAGTTGGCATAGCTGTGAACACAGTGGCACAATTCATTGTAAACATACAGTATTCTTCCTACCTAGATTTATAACTTTTATGCAATTGGTAGGCTAGACTGTACCAGGGCATACCAAAGTTTCCAGAAATTCAAAAATATAGGAATCATTAAATGTTTGTGTAGTGTATGTATATATCCATGCATGTATATGTCAGAAGCATGATGACTTCTACAATGTTAAGACTTTTTATTTTTTATGAATGTTAGCTTGCGGTGATGTGGTTGATACTGTAAATATGAGGTTTTATGATCCAGCTGGAAGCAATGCAGACTATGAAAACCTACAGGATTGCACTTACACTATTATTAGTGACACCGGTACTTGTCCTGTCTTATTCTTCTCAACCTTTGAATTGCAAGAGCCAGATAGTAATGGCAATTGTCTTGATTATGTTCAGGTAATCAGCTACGTTTTTTCCTAAAGATTTCTTTTATGTATCTTTGTAACACAATGAAAATGTATAGATTGATCTAAACTTTATCTTGGCAAATATATTTATTTTGTAGTAAAGCTGAATTTCAAATGAATTAAAATAACATGTTTTTTAATTGAAGAGTGGGTGCATTTGATTTTTATTAATTATGGAAAAGTGTGGAATTATGGAAAATGTGGCCAACTCTGGCAAAAACTTACATTTGTCAGCATTTCAAGCTTTGAATTAGTTAGAAAATGTTTTAGCATTGGCATCTCAACCAATTGCACATTGTAGTTACGAAAACAGATCTAACTGAAAAGTATAGTAAATTTATTTTTAAAATACACACTTCGATATTATACTACTGAATTGAAGAATCTTTAGTTATTTTCTGAAAACATACTAAGAATATGCAATTATTTAATTAGATATTCAATAGAATACTCAACTAATTCTTATCGAATAAACACTTTAAATACTGAATTTTTTTATGTTACCAACCAGTGTAGGCTTTCGAAATAGTCAGTCACAAATTGTAAAGCATCAACTTAATCATAATAATAATATTTGTGAACTTTTATGGTTACAATTGCAATAAATTTAGGTGATAAATTATTCTAATGATTTGCCTAATATATTTATAGAAAGCTACTATTTAAATACCATTAATTTGATTTATTTTAAGTTATAATTCATTTGAAAATACTATGTTCCTTTCTTCTAATTACTATTTTTTTTAAATACTGTATTTCCTTTTTTCCTTATTACCATACTTTTCCTTTTCCATATCCTAAAATTTTAGTGTCATTTAAAAAAATGGTTACTCATGCACAAAATGTAAAACATCAGCATTCTTATTTTGTAGATTAACCAACCAGGGTTTGACAACACATTTTACCAGTTCTGCGGCAGCCAACCCAACCTATACTTCCCTACTTCCAGCCAAGAAGTTACATTGACCTTTTACAGTGACGAATCCATCGTAGCTGAAGGCTTCGAGGCCTTGAATATTTTTTCGCCTTGCCCAAATTTTGCATATGCTATTGGTGATTTTGGACCGGTAAGGAACTTTCGTTGATGAACTTTGTTTGATACTATTTATAACATTTTGTTCCTATATATTTGAGCACTGTATTATTATATATATATTTGATTTGTACATTATTTGTGGTCCCAATGCTAAGCAGCAATTTGATTTGAATATCATTTAAAAAGAATTGCTCCACTATGTGTGAGCCCTCAAATTGTATGAAGGGAAAGAAACTAGTGGTCTTAGATCCGTAATGATATATAGTACAGGCCTTCATGGCCTAAATGGTATTTTTCTCACTGAGATAGCGAGATTTTATGTTCGATTCCCACCAGAGACCTTTTTCATACAACTATAATAGAGAACTTTCGTTGATGAACTATGATTAATACAATTTATAACTTCATGTTCCTATAACTCCCCCCCCCGTTTTCACGGGGGTGGGGGGTTGCCGTATTCGTGAAAGCTCTTAAAAACCGAAAGGCTTAAGTAAGTCGAGCAGGCCTAGGCCCAAGGCTAGCTGACGCGATTTTTTTTGGCTAGGCCCAGGTAGGCCTAGGTCAGGCCCAGGTAGGCCTAGGCCAGAATTTGAGGAATGCAACAAAACAGATGAAGATGAGACTTACTGTAGGCCTAATTAAATTCAATAGTTGACATGTTTTGTTTTAGATTAAAAAATAATAATGAACAAATCCCAGCGACAAAGCGTCGATCCGACTGTACCCAGCCGCATCCATTGTTTGCCGTAATTTCACATGTTTGACGATTACCACGATGAATGTGTATGTCATTGATTCATGTGCACTCATTTATTTATTTTTTGTACATTTACACACATTATATATCAATTATAATTAAAAGTGAAAAACTTAAAATACAAAATGAAAAGAAAGTAAAGAAATAAAACATAAATCAGGTTTCGTAAATTTTTAATAATCTTCCTGCCCCGGACCGTGATCTCATAATAAAACACTTGAATGGTCACGATTTCAACTTTAACCTTTGAATGTGTACAGAGCAACCGTGTCATGCCGGCCCACGATGTTCGCTATGACTCAACTGGGCCTAGGCTGTTAAGTTAGCGATGAATAGCAGGGCAGTGCAGTATTTTGTTACAATTAACGTAACCACGGAAACATTTATTGTTTTCTTATTGTCTTTATCTATCAATTTAGCTTGTCTATTGTGTTTGGGTAAACTAATTATTTTGTTACAATTTGTAAACTGTTGAAATAATAGTGGTGGTCGGGAGCCTGTAAATCCTGGTCGGAAATGTTGAGTGCTGGACGGGCCCGTCCACCGCCGACCAGCGTGGTGACATCCCTGAGTACAGGCCTTCATGGCCTAAATGGTATTTTTCTCACTGAGATAGCGAGATTTTATGTTCGATTCCCACCAGAGACCTTTTTCATACAACTATAATAGAGAACTTTCGTTGATGAACTATGATTAATACAATTTATAACTTCATGTTCCTATATATTTGAGCACTGTATTATTATCTATTTGATTATTTGTACATAAAATTTTTGTCAAGTTAATCCAGGCACTGAAAATAGCCATTATATTCTTCAGACATTTTTTTAACTAAATGCCTAAATTCAGTTAAACCAGTTATTTTGTATCATATTGATAAATCTTTCATATATCAAAATAAAATTTTTCTTTATAAATGAAATTTTCTGGACTAGGATTTAATTTAACTACTAATCATTTGTTATAGACCTTTTAATTGATATATTATGTTTGGTTCTCACTTGACATTTATTGCTTATTAAATGTAAAATTCAATATTAATGAAAATTCATCTCTGTTGGTAGGCTCTCAAAGTCTTAAAATTAAGTAAATTGAATCCAGTTGAAACTAACACCATTGATATCATTGACATTATTGTTCCCTTTTTTGTGTGTGTAGTGTTCTGTTACATGTGGTGAGGGCTTCCAAGTTAGACAACTCCTGTGCATTGATGTATCTGACAACAGTGAAGTTGATATGTCTGAGTGTGAAGGATTAGATAATCTCCCAGTCCAGGTCAATGAAACGTGTACTTTGGAAGTATGCCCAGGTAAGAAAAGTAAATTTATTTACATGGCTAGTACATTAAATCCATTTAAAAAATAATAGATGGTATATACTGTCTCTTATACACATCTAGATGTGTATAAGAGACAGCTGTAGGCCTAATTAAATTCAATAGTTGACATGCTTTGTTTTAGATTAAAAAATAATAATGAACAAATTCCGGCGATAAAGCGTCGATCCGACTGTGCTTTTCCTTTGTTGGATCGATTGTAACTCCTGATTGTAGCCTGTCTCTTATACACATCTAGATGTGTATAAGAGACAGGCGTTAACACGTATATATATATATATATATATATATATATATATACACATATATTTTATTAAACATATATAATTATATATATATATATATATATATACATTAAAAGGCAAATGGAATAAACCCAGAAAACAACGTGTATGTAAATAGTGATATATAATTTAAAAGTAACAGAAGAGGAAAATCTGGTCAGAAAGAAAAAAAGAAACCCTGCCTCCACCGGGACTCGAACTCGGACCTTTCGCTTACTAGAAAAGCGTAAATGTCTTACTAACTCGACCACAGAGGCCTTGTTGGTTAGGTTGAGTCCAGTAGACACAAAGATCCCTTTTATTATTCTAAATGTTGAGTAACTACCAATAACACTCACTATTGGTGCAATCAGGAACAATCAGAGATCTGATATATTAATATTAATAATAATAATAATAATAAGGTAAGAACTTATATAGCGCCATTTAAAAAACCAAAGTAATTATCAGTGGCGCTTCATGTTATTGTTGGAATAAGTGCGTTTTGAGTGATTTTTTAAAAAAAAGCAATTGATGTTGATTATTATTATTATTATTAGAGATTGCATGTTCGATTCCACCATTAAATTTTCAACCAAGAGTATTTATTGTTGTTATAACCAGGTTGTGATTCTACTAAGATAATAACTGAACCTGGCAACTTCGAGTTTCGATTTGAAGATAATAATGAATGTGAAACAAACCTGACTGCTACTGATGACCAGTGCCTGGTGGTGTTCATCAATAATTTTAATTTACCGGCTGACTGTGAAGAGAATTACATAGAGGTATAAATACCCTTAGTATATTATTCATATACATATATACCGTAAAACACATTACACATTAGTTCCCCCTCCTCCAATAGTAACCATCCCCAGAGGTTAATCTATAATAATCAAAACTCTAATAGTAACCCATGGGTTTACTATTAGAGCTATCAAAATTATAGACAAAATAACATTCAAATCAACATTTTTGTCACTCTAAAATAGGCATTCTCATCAATGTGATTGCACCATTGATGATCCTTTCCTTGAATTTACTCCTTGGTAATTTTCCTTGTTGCGCTAAGGCATTGTCCAATTTTAATTCAAATTAAGGATACTTTAATATAACTTTTGATAGTTATCAACAAATATTTTTTCGATTTTCATTCAGCAACATGTACCTACAAAACAACCAGGAACCACGAGTCCTTGTTTGTGAATTCTTTTCCCAATTACTTCCCCTTTTATAAACTTATCTGATAGATTTAAAAATCCAGCAAGAATTATTGACAATTCAATTGGGACATGTCCAACTATGAATGCCTCTTCATGATTTGTTAGATTCAAATAAAATAAAAATTTAAAAATGGCTGAGTTGTTGAATTTGATTTACACATTGCAAAGGTTCATTACAATTTGGTAAGAATATTATCCACATTTTGGTAGCAATTATCTACACTGTGGTACAACCTATCAATCACAATACAAATGAACCATAAGAACTTACAGGGACAAGTTCACATGTAGCAGTAGATGATGGTACATCGCCTTGACATTTAGAGTTATCAACAAACACTCCAGTTCCCAAATTCTGACATTCACAGGAAAAGCCAATTATATTATCCTTATTTTAGTATTAATATTTTTCTTTAGTATTGTTTATGAGTATATCTATTCTGTTACTAAGCACTTTGTTTTTGATATTAGTAATATTTTTCACTGTAATCTACATACCTTTTATAGATCTTCTATTGCTTTATCATGAAAATATTTTCCTTTATAAATATTTTATTTTATATATTATATTTATACATACAACTAATAACATTATGAATTATGTATTAATGCTCTTATTAATATTTTATTATTCTTGTAGTATTATGATGCAAATGCTCCTTGGTTGAATGGCAAGATATGTAGTGATTCTGTCAGTCCCATAACTTTTGTCTCACAAACCAGTACTGTAATCCTTGAAGCTGTGTCCGATGGCAGTGCCTCTGCTTCTGATGGATTTGATTACATTTTATCCCCCAACGATTGCCCAACTTATGGTTTTGTGGTTTCTGAACAGTCTACTGTAAGTCAACAACATTTATTATAGCATAGTATACTGTAAGTTCACCATTTGAAAGAAAACGTTGTCTTGTTGCGCATCAAAAACTCTTTCATAACAATAATTAAAACAAAGTTCACATAAAATGCCTATAAACTAATCAATATGCAGGGTTCGAAATAACGCTGGTCCACCGGCCAATGGCTAGTAAAATGCATGGCGGACCTGTTAATTATCCCAATAACAAGTCCGCGTGACCAGTTAAAATGTCAATGAAAGTCTGACGAAATACCTAAAGTTTTAATCATTCACCTCTTAACGATGTCTTTACAAAATATTTCACACAGATAATGTCAACAAGATCGCTATTTTCTGTTTATTGTCATGTTAATGTCCGCTACGAACAGCCTCGGTCTCAGTCATTCAAGGCGAATCGATGAACATCACGCACTAGCCTAGATCATAGAGAGGAATCCATGGCTAGGCTAGACGTACAGAGGGAAATCACCTTCTCCGCATGTATAGCGACAAGGAGAAGTTGATTTCCGTCTGCGTGAGCACTGTGAAGTTAAAACATCCATGTCATGTATCCATCCCACAATGCACCGTGGGACAAAAAGTTAATTAACAACGCAACGATTTCCAGACGAAATGAACCGTTCGTACAGTCCCAATAGCATTACCATAGAGATTATCTATTAATTAAAACGACACGCCAGTAAAATGTTAGATAAAGCAGGGAGTTGGATAAAGTCAAAGTTACACCTTCCATTGTTTTAATAAAGTGCATTCTCGCCTATATGAATACTTAAAAATCGACTGTAATCAACCTGAAATGAAAAAGGAACGGCTCTTTTTCAGTAGACGTTTAATTCGGATTTGGTATGTCATTAGATTCATATATCAGTCTACATGTAAATTACACTCACTCACATTACACTCACATTCCCCAAAAACATTGCTAATTACGGAGGGAATTTGCAGAGAATTAAATTTTAATTTGTTAGATTTATTTTTAGATTTTACTTTAAAATAAAACAAAACCACGAGGGTTTCTTATTCATTTTAATAAATTTGTTTAATTAAAAATTTATCGGTTTAAACTAAGCTTGTTCCTGTCAGCAAGCTGTCACACACTATGAAACTTTGGGCGATCTGACGTCACCACAGCCAAGCACATGGGATTTTTGCCCAGCAACATGACCCCACGAAAAAAATAAACCAATTAGCGGGCAGAGTTTAGGAGGCGCGACCTGATATTTACAACAAGTCGCATCGTCGTGACCACGAAGAATGTGTTGTGTTTACAGTTTAGAAAAAAATGTCAGACCGAAAATGCACGTAAAAAAAATATAAAAGCATTCATTTTATTGGTACAGTAATACAATTTGCTGTGCACTACAGCTAAACAACAGGTACTGTACATATTATATATTAAATGTTAACTTTTTTCGTAGGCTAGTCATACCGAATTCACTGGGCTAGCCTATGCTGCTAAGCCTATTTTTAGCGTCTAGGCCCTAACTGGCCTGCCTTATTCGGAAAGGATTCAATAGAAATGTTCCACAAACCGATCTTTCCGGAAAACCGAACATCGTAGCGAACATCGTATTGTAAGAGTGCACAGCGCTAATGCACTTTAGTACTGTAACACTTCTATCTTCAAAAATAGTATATTTACCTACTGTGCACTACTAACAATATCTTACAATGATTTTTCATCCAGTTCTGCCACTAACAACGCCAGATTTTAGCATTTTATTACTAGAACCACGGCTTTCAATGCCTAAACTATAGTTCCATCCTTCGTCTCCGTGTTCAGCGAAAATATGATGGCGAATTGGTGATCGAGCCTAATTCTGTTGCCAGAATTCAAACTATGTGTGTTGGTGTTGCCAGAATTAGTAAATCAAGATCAAGCGTCAAGCGTCAGATTCTGAACTTATCTGTAGAGCGATGAGAAGTTCTATGTCCCGTGAGAGAAGGGAAATGGAAAACAGCACAAACATGCATACATTATTTAATGAAATAAATAAATAAATATATGAAGGTCCTAAATGCAATGTCCTGTAATAATGACCATGATTGAAAATTGATCGGATTGATTGATTGATTGATTAAGTGAATGAGTGGTTGTTTAGGTACGTGGATGGGTGAGTGACTGATTGCTTGATTAATTGATTGATTGATTTAATAAAAATAATAATAATAATAATAATAATAATAATAATAATA